AGCAAATACATTTGCATATATTTAGAGGATATTTTTTTCGTTTGAATGAAATATGGAATATATTTTAACGAAACATGATAAAATTCCATATATTTTCACAAGCCGGAACGGCGATTGATATATACAAAAAAAACGAAAATATATAAGCAGATACATAATGTTCTAAAATATAAAAGAAATCTGCATGTATTTTGATTTATCTAATTAATTTTAGCCATGAAATATGGTGAAATATCAACCAAATATATATTATATTGTGAAAAAAAATATGAAAAAATAAATATGAAAGTGGGCAAAGCCAAACTAATATTTACTTTCTCAGATATTTCTCTTTTACATTAGCATTCATCATAGGAAGTTATCTGCTTATAATTTTTCAATACAGTTATGTTTGTGATAAAGTGTGTATTTAAAACGAACTGCGTCATGCACGTATAAATAATCAATGTATTACTGCGCGCTGTCCAATTGCAACTGCGTAGCAAATGGGTGTATTTTGTAAACACCTTTTTTCTTGAAGGTAAAATTAAGTAAAACGATTATCTTTTTATTTTTTTCGTTATATATATCAATCGCCGTTCCGGCTTGTGAAAATTTATGGAATTTTATCATGTTTCGTAAAAATATATTCCATATTTAACTCAAACGAAAAATATCCTTAGTACCTGCAGATTTTTTTTTATATTCTAGAACATTATTTCATTCTTACCGGTGCAACAGGATACTATCTGAGAATCATTCCGTACATTTTCTTCCGGTGTCAGCTGTTTCTCGGCACACACGTTCGCACCAGGACAATACTCTTGTAGGGCACGTGGTAGAAGTGACATTATTGCTTTATCTTCACAAATAGAGCTTCTTGATAAATACGCCAAAATCAGAAGAAACTTTTTGAGAAACATTACTGCAAGAGATGTAATTCACATCCTTTCATTAATCGAGTTAATTGCCTGATCACATGATTTCTGAATATATGTTGCAAGACAAATGACAAGTAAGACTGAATGTCCGAGATCAACTGTTACGGAGAAATAATTTGCTTTCCACTGAATATTGCGATGATAAAATTGCATTTGGTAAGTGATGCCTATGTAAAATGTGACTTTAACTTTCTCTGTTGTTGACATCTTAATTAATTTACTGTAAATAAATATAGACAGTATCTAGGTTTCATTTGTTTTTATAAATATTTTTAGATATAAAATGTTATCATATTCACAAAATCCAAAATTGAAGTGACTTAAGTGAGTCCGGAGAGTTTGATGATGATTAGTATTCATATTAACTTTTCAAGCAATACAAACCGTACTAGTTTAAGAATGTTTTTTTTTTGGTAAATTATACAAACTGAGTGTTATTGTAAATACAATTGAATTGAAAAAAAATATGTAAAACTGGAAAATAAACAAAATTGAATTTGATAAATGGACAAAAAAAAAAGAATATAAGAAATTAGATAGAAAGAGGAATTATGAAAAAGGTCACATGAAATTTAGCATGGGTCTTGATTAAGTATTTTAATACACTGTAAGCGTCAAGTGCATGAATAAAATCATCTATTTATTTTTTAATTTATTATCGTCAATAACTGGGCCTAAAGTTCGCAATTTTCTAAGCTCAAACTGAGATCTAAAATGTTTGATTGACGTGACGGCATATTTCTCGTAAATACTTTCAAGCGTATACAGACTGGTTATAATTTTGTACTGGCAATACTTACCTTATCACGAAACGCTTTTAAATGTTAATTTTTAACATGCGGAATCCTACCGTAAATATGTAAAATCACACCTGTCAAACAGATTGAACTATAATACCAAAACTACTTGCAATATAAACCTACCTTAACGTTTAATTCCTTTCATCAAAAATGTAAATGTCTTTGAACACCTATAGCTAATGACAGTTGACTTCGGTCTGTAAGGACCAAAACCAACAATCTTAATGAAATATTTATCATATACCAGTGTTACTTATATACTGTTATGAACGAGATTTACAGTCCAACTAGTTTGCTTTAAAAGTACCTACCAATTATTTTGTAAAACTGGAAGAAGATGGAGAAAATATTGACGATGAAACGAAACTCTCTAATTGTGCCTAATTAGAACGTATCTTTATCATTTTTGACCTTCCTTCGTCCTACGATTTGAATGGAAGCAACGGATGAGGCTTCCTGTCCTTAATTGATAAAAAAATCTATAAGAAACTTAATGAAATGCTTAATCAGTATAATAATCAGTATTTTCTTGAAAAAACATAACCAAGCCAAAGGGAATTCGTTATACAAGGCCTCAATTATAAAATATAGTCAAACTTTGAAAAGTCAAATTTTGAAATTGTCAACATTTGAACAATTCATTGCAAATGAATGTGCACAATAACGTTCCAAAGTTATAAGTTAGAAGTAGTTTGTTAATTTTTTGAAAGAATGAATCGAGCGGAAGAATGTCATTGTATGTTAACGCGTTATCTATCGTTTGTAATTGATAGAAAATGGTTTCCTTGATATTGATTATGTTTTTTTTATCTTAATTTACGTGCTTAGAGATTGTCACAATGGACAGTATTCTTGACAGTTCGTTTTTGTGTACTGAAACAGAGTGTCTATGTCAATTGATATTATTAATAAATAAATGCTTGTATTCATCCCAACTTTTTATTTTGATATTTTTGTTCTTTTTGCAAACAAACGTAGCACATATTTAGCTCAACTCAATTCATATTTTTTAAAGTATATTCACAAATATCAACATTTGAAACTTTGTTTACATAAAACAAAGCCATTTCTAAAATGAAATTACAGGAAACTAAATTAAATTTAATTTTCTAAAATTCCAAGAGAAGTCCAGTAAAATGTAAACTAACTCATATTAGGTTACTTAAAATATAACATTCACATTTAGGTTATTTAAAATAAAACATCGACACGATATGTATTGTAGCAAGTCTGCAAGAAGGCAAAATAAAAACAAAATATTGTTTGTTTCTCCTCCCACTACCTACCAACGTTTTATATAAAACATGGAATATAAGTGTTTGTCAATGAGAACCACATCGTTATATACATATATCTAATGCTATTCAAACTCGGATTTATCTTGAATAAAACTTTGAAACTTTAGTTCTAAACTTTAAAACAGATTCTCTGTAATACACCATTTCTCTAGTCTATTACAGTCACAGGTCGGCCAGAATTTCCTGCATTTTGGCCGATTCTGTGCCAGTCACAGGTTTCTCTTTTCCCTACCTACCAACTGTCTCATTAGGTACCGTTTTAGACCCCTGTACTTTCCTCAATTTAGGAAAAATCTGACCGAGCTATGCGATCTTTTATATAAGGTCTAATTTCTTCAATATCCCTTCCATTTTAACAAAAATGGTCAACGAACGGATCTATTAAACTGCGATTTGTTTAAAACTGTGTTTAGCTGGAGCCAACATTAAATATGACATTTTCATGTAATTTCATGAAAGAAGTTGCGCAATATTCAATCGCCCCCTCTCCCCCAACCCACTACCTCGTCCTAAAAAAATAGAAAAAAATATCGACAATGAAGATATAAACAAAATTGTTTTATGTTATATTGATTTAATAGAAAATCAAGTAAACAAATTTTGTTTTATTGATATATTTCAATAAAATCTGAACCAATGTTAAAATAGGGAATTCAAAACGAAATCCCTAAATAAAGAAAACGAAATCCCTAAAGAACGCCCAAAACGACAAACTTGAAAATGTTGAAGACTCGGTATCATTGAGCCTGTTCGTGGACATGAAATATTTTTTTAGTTTATAAAAATGGCATTGGTTGGAAATAAACAATAGGGACTAGTCGGTGTGTGAGTTGTAATATTTTCATTGAAATGTCAGGACTTATTACATGACAAAATTAGAGATATAAGAATTTATCTCGACAAGTTTAATAGTATGTTAGATCGAATAATGTAAAATAAATAACACATTATGGGCTAAGGAGAAACACGACGGATGTGGCAGATATATCTTATTTCACAATTCACCTTTTGCAATCAATGTTAGCTTGATGAGGTAATCGTTCAGCCTCCGGCTAGGTAAATTTAATCAGAGCGAACGCAAATGTTCTGTGCTTGATAAATTATCATTTTCTGTCATTAGCAGTAATGAGCATTAAGTAGATATGAGTAAACTGTATTTGAAGACGCTGATAAAATGTATTTTCATGGGCAGTCCAACTGGAAAGCTGTTGATATATATTATTGGCAGGTTCGAATAGATTATATGGATCTATTTTTCGTGGCCGTGTGCAACTAGTGACTGTTCGCTATTCAGTCAGTACATATTTTGGAATTTTGCCTAAAATGTTAACTAGTAATGTCCCGATTGAAAGATATAGGAGTCCATGCTTAGGGTCAATTTTCATCAAACAAATGAAATTATATTGATTTATTGATTAAAGTTATTGATGTGTGTGAAAATGCTAAGAACTTTCTCAAAGTGAAACCATTCTTTAATTGTCCAATCCCAGTTTTTTACTCTATATAGTAAAATTGTTCCTCTTTTATAATTTCTCCATATGCTCTTTTTGCAAGAACCTATTTATACCAATACAACGCAGATATTTTTTTTATCTTTTGAATGTTTTTTTTTTATATTTAATTTTATATGAATTTTTTATGGATAGTCGTTGTCACTTCAGTTAAGCAATTGTCAAATTCAATCAGAAAATAAAAACGAAGTAACTGCACTCGCGACCTAAAATATATATATAAAAATTGCTAAATATTTATATAAAATGACAACTTTACTTTATCCTGTATTTATATGAATGTTTGTAACACAAATTTCTACCGTTTAATTCTATTATTTCAAATCAATGTTTTAACTTTAACAACATTTTTTCCTAAATTTTTATGTGAAATTATAACTTCCGTAAAATGCTATATTTTCTTAAATTTATTTTATCAACATGTAAGATATTTTTTTCAAATACTTCTATCAGATTATAACTTCCGTTTGATTCTATTTTCATTCTTCAATTCATATTAATTACTTATTACTATAATGCTATTCTATTTGTTTATATGATAAGCCATTTCGCGTTTGTTAATGTCCATATAACCTCAAAAAAGTAATTTATACACAGTTGTACACTTTGAATGAGATAAAAAGAAAAGATAATTAAAAAATTACTAGCAGCCGTATATATTAATAAAATATGAACAATTGGTCCAGTTAAAACGTGTAGTATTATAAACAAAATATTATACCACTTTACTTAGCATGTAGCATATGTATCATACCACTTTTGACATTTATATCCACTTTCCTTATTTGTTTATTTAAATGACTTACAAAATTAAAATAATAATTTCAATATTTATTTACATAACACATTTAATGAACATTTAGAGATTTAGTAAAATACATAAGCATACAATATTCATAGACACACAAACGATGTTCAAGATAGTAAAAGCCTAAAGAACACACAACATTTTATACATCATTTAGAAACAGTTATGCAAAATGAACGACCTTTCCAATTACATGTTTATATTTAACAAAGTTTGAAATTCGTATGATTAAGGTATTTCTATTTATCAAAACAAAATAAATAAATAACTAATGGCTATAAAATACATGTCACAACACTTGAAGCAAGTCATAGACACATACATAACAAATGGCAATTTCGAATTCTTTAGCCATATAAACTCCATCCCTTCTTATACATCTTTCTGGAGAATGTAATTGTTGTTATAAACACCACTCGTATTTTCTATTAAGTTCTCGTCTGCAACAAACGCTTTTATGTTACTTCTTTGACCATTGCTATTCAGTTGTACATATAGTGGACACTGTAGCCTTCTCTGCAATAGATCCGTTCCTTCCATTCCTTACACTTGCTGATGTTTCAAACACACCAATTGAACGTGTTCCTTGGCATCGAAACAGTGCTATGATTTCCGCACGAAAACGAGAACCGCTGATAATATATAAAACAAAATTAAGCGTCGCGTTCATGTATGCAAGGATATTTACTACATTATAGCACAGCCATATAATTTCCGCCTGGTTTTTGTATTCAGTATAGTTATCACATGCAAGTTCATTCACTTTTGCAATTCCGTATGGTATGTAAATGTAATAAACAGACATTGGTGTCTGGCTCAAGAAAAATACAGCATTTAGTGAAATCAACACGATTGTTAATGTTTTCTTCTCCTTCTCCGCCTTCAGTAGTTTCCCTTTTGTCTGCATGACGCTCATCTGGTTGCGCTTCTCCTCTGAAGATTTCAACTTGAAGATAATTATGCTGTTCCCAATTACAAGTATGATAAATGGAACAGCAAACGCGACGACAAAATTTATCCAGTGCCAAATATGATGGAAGAAATACGAATATTCATCATATAAAGGCATGCATGTTTTCACAGCATAGTATTCTAACTTTGATGTCCCTAACCCGTAAAACCAGTGACTGTTTAGTCCGAATATGCTTACGAATTGAATTGTTACAACCACTTTGGATAAAAAAGTAGTGCATCTGGTTCTAACTTTGTGGGGCCACAACACACTGACAACGCGTTCTACCGTTAGAGCAACAAGGGACCAGGAAGAGAATTGCAGTGTTCCATACGTCAACCAGACTGTAAACTTGCAGAAAATTTCATTTAAGCCCCGGATATCATATTCCCATGTATGTCTTATCCATTGCCTCAGTGGGCCATTCAACAAGAACACCATGTCTGATATTGCAAGGCAAACGAGGTATAAAGTTGTTGAAGAAAGCTTTTTGCTTGAACGGTTTAAAACAATAATTGTCAGAAGATTTCCAAATACTCCAAACACAATAATAACTGGTGGTAACCCAGCACTAATCCAATCATTCGCTATAGCGTAAGGTCCATCAGGGAGGCGGTCTGGTAGTGATGAACAGTTCGGCCACCCAGGCAGTAAAACAGGCGATTCTTTAACGACTGCGTTTCTTACAGTTGAAATGGAAATATTATTTCCTTTCGTTAAGTTTGACATTATAATGCAAAAATACAGTTTATTTTAACGACGTATTTGTACGAAAACTCTTTCATAAAAAGCTACCTTCTGTCGTGAACAGCTATGATGTATAGACAAAATTTCCATTTATCAAATTGATGCACTCCGTCATTAACAAGTAGAATATTATATGAATTAATAAAGGCTGAAACAAAATAAAAGTTTGTTTCATTTGTTATTTCATGCTCTAAAGTTTATGTAAAACTTGTGGTGTAAAGTTATAACTGAAGGCTTGTTTTCTTGAGATATTCCGTTTTATATCACGAACAATAGTAAAAGATATTCTGTCGACTAATGATTAGCTTGATTATTCTTCAAATTCATTTTCAAAACACCTTAGACTACTTTTTATTTGTTTGCCCCTGTTGGTATGTTGGTCTTCATATAAAATATATGGGATTTGATTGCAACTCACTTTAAATGCTGCATTCTAATTTAAGAGCCATGCCAACAACGCTGGTATAAGCATTTGAATGGAATAATAAAACGAAATATTTGTAAAGAACCTAAAAAGAAAGTACTAGTATACATATATTTTTATTTCAAATCACGTTCTTTTTTATTGTTACAGGCTTATGTAAGATATAGAGGATATTTGTTTGTTTGTGTGTAAGATAAAATTTTATTTCATCGAGGGAGCATTAAAAACAGTATTCTTACGAGTGGCGTAGTTCACGTGATGAAAATAAAATTACATCTTAAACAACAAACAAACAAACAAATTTTCTTTTTATTTTATGCTTTAAAACAAGATAAAACGAAATTTCCTTGATATTAACTTAAATATTAAAATCTGTTTTCATATTTTTCATAATAAAAACAAACAATTCTAGTAGGGGAAAAAGTCAAACCATACATCCATATTTCTGTTACTTACGGCGACTTTATATTAGACTTGGTTCTGTGAAATGTAAGCGGCCGCCATTTTTAAAAGTTGTGTATTTTATAGGAGGAAAATAATTCTGTTTGATTCAGATGGCTATCATTTGGATTTGTTAGTCATGGAATTTCTGGAAGGCTGCCTTACGAACGCTGGGTTATTTAATTATTCTTCGGGCTGATGTCTGCCATTGCTTTTCAAGTTATTAGGCACTTAATGCTCGTAGGATACTTAAATATGCCCAAATGTCATCAAGAGCAGTTTGCATGTGGAAGGAATTTCAGACGTAAACATGAAATAAAAATTTAGAAACGATATTTGTTGATTGGTAATTTGAATGAATTGAAGTAAGTTTCTTCTTATGATTACTTTTGAAATTTCAGTTATTTATCAATTTCAGCTTTGCTTTTCTCTTAACAGCCCTGACAATGTCAGAAATGTCAACAATAATAAAATTGAGGTACCGCAAGGGGAAAAACTTAAAAAAAGTAGTCTCATCATTATAAAGTGTGAAATTATATTTTGATAATTTTCACTGTGAAATTATCAAATATTATTCTCACGGATAAATCAGTAATCCACCGAAAAGCATAAAATAAATTTAATTTATGAAATATTACGACCTAATTGCTATAATATTGTGATAAAATGACAATTTCTTCTAAATAGAACGAACATGAAATTTTGAGTTAAAAGTACAAATAATCGCAATTACATGTGCTATTTTGATAACTGTTTCTTTCAAAATTGTCATAAAACTTAATTATTATCACTCTTACTTAATAACTGGTTGAATTTACAATTAAATTTGAAATAAAACGTACACGTTATATGACACCGACACCAAATATATTTTGAAAATTTGTGACAGGAGATGTAACAGCAACAATATCTAAAGGAATTTCGTTAAGCACATTGTTTATATGCTAATTCAAAAGAATTCCGTTCTTCAGACTAAATAAATTATTTACAAACTTCAAAAACAAATTCTGAATATTATTTTTAATAATTGTAAATCTGTAAAGTTGTATGAACGACCGCCATGATAACTGCGATTAAACTGAAAACACATTTAAATGCAATTAATATCCATTTTAACAAAGGTAAATTTCTAGAAAATGTTATCTTCACAATTATATTCACATTTTGATTAACGTTTTCTCTTTATGTTTTGAAATGCTTTTAAATATGAAAGGACACTAAGGCTTATCAATTCAGTGATAAAACAATTAATGAGTTGTGTCCGACCTTAATGTAAGTTTAATTCGATAAAGTGTCGATCATTTAAATCTGGCATTTCGGTAATGTGTTTAATACGTGAAAATAATGAATGACAATTGTGACAACAATTCTTGCGGATCATTTATTCATATAAAACTTTTATAATGTTATATTAATTATTCATTAGGCAAAATATATCTAAATGGAGATATTAATTGAAATTCTTTGTGAATAAATAATACATGTAGTTGATTATAGAAATTATAAAACAGAAAAGCCCCATAAGAGTCATTGTAAATGAAAAGTGGGGTTGCGTTGATATATGAGCCGCGTCAGGACAAAACCAACATAATGTGTTTGCGACCAGCATGGATCCAGACCAGCCTACGCATCAGCGCCGACTGATCAGGATCCATGCTGTTCGCTTACCAACCCTATTACAAGTAGCAAAACTGATAGCGAACAGCATGGATCCTGATCAGACTGCGCGGATGCGCAGGCTGGTCTGGATCCATGCTGGTCGCAAACGCATTACGTTGGTTTTGTCGTGACGCGGCTCATATGACAGCCAACTTCAAGAGACAAAGACGTCCATATCGAATGAATTACACCAAACTGAAGTCAAGCATTGAGTTGACATTTGTACATTTATGATTATTTTAATCCATTTTGATAAAAGTAAAAATTAATTATCAATTTTCTGTAATACATTCATTAATTGATTACATTCATTAATGACATAAATTCATTCAATATTGTCCAGTTTAATTATTGAATTCGGAAGGCCAAAACGTTTTGAAGTGAACATGGGAGATTAATTGAATCGCATTAATGAAATCAAAATACTCGAGTGATCCCCCATATACAGCTCGATACTAAAGGGTTAATTTTAAATATACAATTATTTGCTTTCGAATAGTATTCTAAATTAGTAAAAACACAAAAAGATACTTTTCTAGTCTTTTATACTCTAGAGAATGATATTTTATATTTTTATAAGATAAAAATTAATTTAGTATATTATTGATTCATTATTAAGTGGTAATTTTTTAAATGTTTCCACTTGCTAAAGCGAAAAGCATTGTTCCAATTGTAGAAATTAACAGTATACATTCTAGAGCTTACCTCGTACATGTTTACAATTACCACATTAAGTGAAATACTTGACAACGACGATTATTTCTAAAATTATAAGATAAAGATTTATTATCGTCGTATGGTTTTATGTATGTATGGCATAATCAAGGGGTTTTATGTTGTAAATTGTTTTTATTAGAATTCAAGCAGCGTTTAATTGATTCCTTTGTACAAAGCTGGCATGCTGATATTGTAAATAGTCCTGTTTTATTGTTATACAATGATCTAAAAAAATGTGTTCCAGTATGAAAAATATCTGGATTTACTACCTAGTAGCCTTAGGCATTATATTAGTAGAATAAGATTATCAGCACATCTGTTACTTATACAGTCTGGTCGTTATGGCTCAAATAGGATACCAAGAAATGAACGTTTTTGTATATACTGTAGCTTACATGATATTGAAGATGAGTACCACTTTGTTTTGGTTTTGCACTTGTTACAATGACCTTAGAAAGAAACATATTAAGAAATTTTACTACGTTAGACCTAGTATGTATATTTTTTTAGAATTATTAAATAGTGATAATAAGATTATTTTACTTAACCTTGCTTGTTATATACGAGAAGCATTGGCTATGAGAATATCAGTTACACATCATTGAATTCACGGTTAATCCTCTGTGTAACATAGCGTAGATAAATAAGTATTGATTGCATAATGTCTAACTTTAAATATAGATTACATTTTGCTTTGCTAATATTTTGATATGATTTGTGTTAACGGAATTATAAATTTAGCAATAAAAACATGTGCTTTGCTAACATTTGACTATGATATTATTATGTAATGTGACTTATACTTAGATATATTTAATTGATTGTATTGTGTAAGACGATGTATTTTGTACAAGTCTGAAAATAAAGTTTCTGTTCTGTTCTGTTTAAAAAGAAATAAAACCACTTAGCTTTTGGACTAAAATAAGTTTATCACACCGACACTGTAAAAATCACGCGACGACTAGTGTACGGATGTAGGAATCCCTCAGATATTCCTCAGTTGAATATTTTTGCCGTCGGCCTAAACACCAAGCATTCTATAGTTTCATTAACCTTTTTAACAGTATTTTTGAAATCTCATCAAAAATTGTTCATAAATAACGATTTTAAATGGAAAACACATCGGTAACACTAAAGTTCATATATGAATTTTACTATGCAAATAAAGACTATATGCACTACGTCACAGTGTTATAGTTTTTATCCGGAACACAACATGTATTGGGTTTTCATGTGCAAACACTCTTTAACCTTAGCTTCACCGTGCATCAGGCCTGGCGTTCAGAAAAATGTAATCATACATATACAATATTAAATTTGTATGAAGACATCCGTTACAATGCGGAAATATACTGTTAGATAAGAACCGCTACTTATAGCCACGTATTCTTATTAAATATTGATGTACGGATGATCCGAAGCAGAAATGTCTCGGGTACACAGAAATTGTACTTCCGATTTCGCTACAATGAGGTGGCAGATTTTTATGCTTATAAAACTCATTTTGGTTGTCTTGACACCAAAATAAGGCATGGAGTCGATATGAAACCCAATTTATTAATGAAATGTCGCTATTTCTGTTTTTATGAAATTTAATAAAAGCAGCTTTAACTATTTCAAAAATAAAAACAACATCAAACAAAGAAAGCATAAGAAGGCATCTTAGTATAACAAAGATCTTCTGGGGCTTTACGAAAAGGTCCAAATTCCTGGCAGGATTCGAACTCGCAATGAGTAGTTTTGCAATTAGGTTCTCAAATATGATTTCAAGAGTGAGTACCAAAAACTTTAAGAAAAATTATTTGAGCTGCATTTATAGCTTAGTATAAATATTAAAAGCAGTAACGGATTATATAGAAAACAACAATTCATACACGGCCATATAGCAAATATAAGTC